AGTTGTACCGTTGTAAACCTTACGTAAGATGGGTCCACATGGTAGACTAGCGCTGGCAGTATGGCAGTCTGACGCCGTCAAACGCTTCCTCGTAGTCGACGAAGGTTAAAACGAGAGGTAGGCGGTACTCTCGGTAAACCTCGATAACCTTCGCAACTATCTGGATGAGATCCACGCAGCTCAATCAATTGCAAAATCCAGCTGTTCCTCAGGTTGGGTTTCATCCAGTGTCCATGATATGCAAGCGAGAATGATCTTCGTAAACAGCTTATAAAGCACGCTCAGCAAGCATATTGGACGGTAGTTCTGAAGGTCCTCCCTATCGCCCCTCTTATGAAGAAGGTGTTCGGGAGGTTCTCCACTGTTCGGAGATCCTTTCCTTTGGAAGGTAGGACGTGAGATGTTCTGCAAGTATCTCGTGTAGGCGATGTCCTCTTGCTCGTAAGTGGTCGGCCGAAACATGGTTCGGTCCCGGGGCCGTGGCGCTTTCATGGTCTAGATTGCGGCGCATACTTCATCAGGTAGATTCCGTAGTGGTATTTCTCCTATGGGAGTAGCGGGGTTTGACACTGGTGTTGACGAAAGAGATTGGTGTAGAATCCCTTTGTGATCGATTCCATCTTTTGTCGGGAAGATGTGCGAGTCCCGTCTTCGTTTAGTAATGTTGTCAGCGGAACACAATAGTCGAGAACATTTTGATTGCCTGTACTTTCGAATATCTTCTTGCAAAGCTGTTCTCCAACACAACACTTTGTAGAAGGACTTCTCTTTGCGGATGACTTCCTTCGAATCCTTATATAAAGCATCAAGTCCCGAGTCATCAGCTGCTGATGTTGGAGAATAGCAGTTGATGATAATATGGCTTTTTGATGCAGAGGACGTAGTCAAACGATATTCAGGCGAGGTGATAGGATCTCATGCAAAAGCAAGATGGACAACAGATGAGTGTACGACCATCCAATGCCTCCGACGTTCCGTGATAGAACTTTTAACCAGGAACAATGAGTGTGCCATCACTCAGCTGTCTCCGTCTTCCTGAATTTTCTTTCCTGCAAGGCGATTACGTGGTATTTGATACGCCCTGCAGCTTTGAGAAGGGCGTGAGTTGGGGTTGATGGAACCTGTCCTGGCGTT